CGCGACACGCGCCGGAGAGCTCCCTATATTTTTAGATGTGTTCTCTGGTTAGTGAAGATTAGACAGATACCCCTCAGAGTAGGGGAAGAATTGGAAAAGGCGCGTATAGCGGGGAAATACAGAAAAAGTTGGTCCAAGTATTGGAAAGTGAAGTCAGTAGCATAGGCAAAATGATGGAAGACTTGAAAGCCAGCGTAGTGGGGTATAAGCAGTTTGGGTGGGAACTGTTCAGAACACTACGCACTGAAGGCATTGACACAATATATGATCTTACCGAGTATTTTGATAGCACAGAACGCGATGGCGAGTTGATTGCTAATATATGCGACATGTTTCAGACTAACGGTCGGGAGGTTCGAAATGTACTGGGAGGGGTACAACGCAACGTGCGTCAGCAATCACACCGGAGCCCGCCAAAGGACGTTGATCAAATGGACACGGACACTAACACGGGTGAATTGGAAAGGCAATCCCGTAAAACGCCTTACGGTCTATCCTGGAGGCAGCGTTCAGAGAAATTGGAAGGGCAAGCAGTCAGCACATCGGTCAGGATGCTTCAAAGTCTATGGCCTTGATACAGGCGATTGCGCGCATAAGTCCTGGGTTACTAAAAGGGACTAGGTCGAAAAATTTCGATGAGTTCATACGACGATTCGAAAGGAAATATAGGACGGTCATTGTGGATGAGCAGGTACTAATCGATATCCTGGGTGATGACCACTTGGATGGTAGGGCCAAGAGTGTCTTTCTGAGTTTGCCAAGCAAAGTGAAGCAGCAAGGGTTCGATGCCGTGTTAGAGGAGTTGAAGAAGTTATCAGCCAAGCAGGACTTTACAGAAGGACGGCTCCGGGCAGTGACAGAGCTGAGGAACCTGAAGGGTAGAGCGGGTCAAAGCGTGTCGGAGTTCTGCGTAGTGCTAGGAGCCCAAGGAGGCCTATTACGCAGTGAAGGAGTCGCCCCTACAAGTGAAGGAGGGTGAAAGTATGATAAAGGGAGTTGGAAGCAAAGAGCCGCCACCTACCATGAAGGGCCTCCAAGCACAGATAGTGATAAGCTAGTCAATTCTAAAGCCAAATACGGTGGGACGGCCAAAGACAGTAGAGACGTTAAAGCGGGACGCCCAACGGGCCTCAAGAGAAGCCCCAAATGTACACACTGGTAGCACTGAAAGCAGATGAGAGGAGAAAGGAAGCAAGGAGAAATGAAGGTGTTATAACTGCTTCAGAATTGGGCACATTGGCAAGGACTGTCCTCTGAGGGAAACCGTGGCGAAACAAATTGCTAGCAAACCTCTTGAAATGGTTCAAAGAAATACAGATATGGTGGTCCAAATAGTTGACAGAGTGCGAAACCTAGGCGTGAGAGCGGTTGAGCCGTCAGAGATGCCATTGGTAGGAAACATGGTGCTGGCGTGGGCTCGTCTGTCGGATATGCGGGTTCCAGCAATACTGGACGCAGGGTCTATGATAAGTATTCTACCTGTGGGACTGCTGGCACGCACCCAAGAAGAAGCGTTCGATATGGAGAAGTTAGATTGTTGCCAGAGGAATCGATGGTGCCGGTATACGACGCATCATGCGATCGTATGAACTTCCTGGGAGCTATTAAGGTGCAAGTGTACCTAGAAGGAGGTAACACTGCTATCGTAGCCTTCCATATTGCGGACACAAATACTAAGGATATCCTCCCAGGAATGAATGTGTTGGATCAATTAGGGGTACACTGGTCATAAGATCCGAGATAGGATATGATAATACCGGGAAGGATGCGAGAGGTGTGAATCTGTGAAGAGGCTCTATGTACCGCCGCCCGTCGGCAATCCTCCATGCGCATTGTGAGTGAGAAAGAGAGCAATAGGAAGGAATTGTCTGGCCAGGCAACTGTGGAACGACAGCTGGAGTGTTTAGAATTCACTGTTAGAGTCTCCAAGTGCCGGTCATCAATAACAGTGATCAACTCATAGTATTTCGAGAAGGCGAAGAAGTAGGTAAATGGGGAGCAGAAAAGTGGCGTGAAAACTGGGAAGAGCAAAACCTCTTGATGATGGATAGCGAAAGTCAGGAGTATAGTGAGCACGAAAGAAAGCCATTACTCCATGAAAAGATACAGGAAAGTTCAAAGGTAGAAAGCTTAAGCAAAGACTTGATTTGAGTTCTGGAGCAATTTCGTAACGCGTTTTCTATATGTGATGGAGAGCTAACAGGGACTAGTAAGGTAGAGATGGACATCGATGCTGGAGAGAACAAGCCCATCAAAATGAAAACCAGACCAGTTCCGTTTGGAAACAGAGAAAAGCTGAAGAAATTGTTGGCTGACCTAGATAACAGAAAAATCATAGAGAAAAGTAATCGGGAATTAAGCAAGAGAGTCAATTTTGACTCGTACCCGCTACCTAATATTGATGCAGTACTACAGAGCATGTCAGGAAAATCGTGCTTCTCAACTCTGGACCTCTGCAGTGGGTACTGGCAGATACCTCTAGCAGCCGAAGCACGGGAGAAGCCTGCGTTTACCGCGCCGGAAGGACTCTTTCACTTTCAGGTCACTCCATTCGGTCTGAGCACGAGTCCCGCTGTTTTCCAAAGGATGATGGATACAGTTCTGCGAGATCTTCTTGCGATGATATCATCATCTGCACGGACACGAGAGAGAGGCACATCGACCTACTGAGGGAAGTCTGACAAAGCTGCAGGAAGCGGGAATAAGGCTGAAAGCTCAGAAGTGCGTCCTTATGCAAACTAGGGTGAATTTTCTCGGTCACGTTATTGCGTTATTGATAGGGACGGTACATAGGACCCGGCAACGGTAGAGTCGATCACTAACTATCCGGTCCCAAAGAATGGGAAGGAAGTAAGGACGTTCCTGGAAATGGCGTCGTTCTATCGTAGATCTGCCTCGGAGTTGCTGAAGCGGCAGAAAGCTTGTTCCCGTTGACATCCCCTAAGGCAACACGGAGATGGATTGATGAACACAGAGTTGCTTCTGAAAAAGTCAAGGAAATGATATATACGTCACCAGTGCTTAGCCAATCCAACAGAAAAGGCAAGGGATGGGTCCACACCGTTTATAATGAGTACGGATGCGTCAACGGTGCGTCAACGGTACATACGTGGTAGCAAACAGTGCTAGTGCTGAGAAAACCATTTTTCGCCTAACAAATACAGTACCGACGGAAGCCTTCTAGCCTTTCTAGCTCGAGCCTTGTGTGGTATTCTTGTATGCTAATGTGAATAACGCGAAAGCAGTGCAGGCTGTATCATCTCTCATCAAGAATAATCCTACTTTATATAATTCGCTAAGTGTGTCTGTTGGTGTGTCGGTGTGTTTATGTGTGTGTTTGTGGGTGTGTTGGTGTGTGTGTCCTACCGTAAATTCATGACTCCGGTCCCCGTCGATCTAGAGCGTTCAAACTTGGTAGTAGTACGGTGGGCAGGATGGGAACCTCATGGCAGGTGGCAGGTCCGGATTCCATGCACAGGGAGCGGGGCGTGCGCGATAGAAATTTTGGGCCGCAAATTCATAAATTCTGTCCCGTGGACCGAAAGCTTTCAAACTTGGTAGGAATACGGGGGCGGCATGGAACGACTTATGGCAGAAGGCGAACTCCGCCTACAGGGAGCGGGGCGTGCGCTATAGTTTTAGCTGCAAATTCATGACTCCTGTTTCCGCGGTGGACCTATCGCGTTGAAGTTTGGTAGGATTGCAATTTTCGCACTAACAGTGGAACCACAGCATTTTAGCAAGTGATGTAGGATATGACGGGATCGTGGGTAGTCGGATTATGAGCAATTTTCCTGTAAGCCATCTTTGCTGTGTCCGGATAGAACATCGCATAATATCACAAAAGCGGTTATTCAGAGAAAAAAGTATTTAGAGAATTGATCGCGGCTGAGTCTACTATGTTAGCTACCATCAGTGTTACCAGCCAACTCCTTGTGACTTCAAGTTCCAACGGTCTGGGTTCGAACTAACAGTATTTATTCACGCCCAGCTCTTTGGGACGAAGTTTAGTCTTGCAACCTATCATCAGTATTCCTATCCTTCCTCCTGTATTCCTACCAATGGTCGCTCTAAGTCCATTCTAACATTTCTCCGCAAGCCCCGGTCTCTGAAGGAGGTATGAGTTTTCGCCCAGACCCCGCCCACTGTGGGCGGGGTCCGATCTTGCCCCCCCCCCCCACCATAAGNCCCCCCCCCCCACCATAAGTATTCACATCCTGCCGCCTGTACTGCTACCAAATTTGAACGCTCTAGGTCCAAGTTTAAGTTTTTCGCACAAACCCCGCCCCTTTCGGGCGGAGTCCGGTCCTGCCACCCACCGTGAATGTTCCTATCCTTCCGTCTGTGCTCTTGTCGATTTGAGCTTTCTAGATCCACAGGGACAGGAGTTTCGAATTTCTGCCCAACCCCGCCCATTGTGGGCGGGGTTTGGGCAGAAATTCGAGAGCTCCATCCTGCTCCCCATTACAAGTGTTCCAGTCCTATCTTGGGTAATCCTACCAAATTTGGACGCTCTAGGTCCACGGGGACTGCAGTCATGATTTTCCGCACGAACCCCGCCCTTGTGGGCGGAGTATGGTCCTGCCACCCACCATGAATGTTCCCATCCTGCCGCCTGTACTCCTTCCAAGTTTGAACGCTCTAGGTCGAAGTTTAGGTTTTTCACACAAATCCCGCTCGGCGGAGTCCGGTCCTGCCACCCACCATGAATGTTTCCATCCTGCCGCCTGTGTTCTTGTCGATTTTGAACTTTCTAGGTCCCCAGGGACAGGAGTTTTGAATTTCTGCCCAAACCCCGCCCACTGTGGGCGGGGCTCCATCCTGCTACCCACTATAAGCGTTCCCATCCTATCTTGGGTAATCCTACCAAATTTGGACGCTCTAGGTCCACAGGGACAGCAGCTATGAGTTTTCGCCCAAACCCCGCCCCCTGTAAGTGGTGTCCGGTCCCGCCACCCACCATAAGTGTTCCCATGCTGCCGCCTGTACTCCTACTAAGTTTGAACTCTCTACGTTGACGAGAACCGGAGTTATGAATTTCCGGTCACACACACACAACACACACACACACACACTCTCACACACATACACATACACACGCACACACACACGCACAC